TATAATGTCACCACGCAAGGCGCTGTGTTTGGTACAAATACCTAATTCCAGAATCTTAAGAACAAGGTAGAAAGAAATAGCAAAGTTAACAGGTAAACATTTCAGTAATTATAGTACAGTGTAAAACATAAGAAATAGGGTTAAAAATTACACATTGCAGACCTTCTTGGTTTTAATCGAAAATAAATAAATAAAGCTGAGAGTTCAATTGTCACAGTCTTTCTAAAGTGCTTCGCCACAGTGGGACCGCACTTCAAGGAATTACCTCGAGACTAGAAGTCCACGCTGAGGCCATACTAGGCTGAGAGACCACCACACTGGGTCACTGAGAGAATACTACGCTAGACTGAGAGGCCACCACACTGGGTCACTAAGAGACCACTACGCCAGACCGAGAGACCACCACAGTGGGTCACTGAGAGACCACTACCCCAGACCGAGATACCGCCACACTGGGTCACTGAGAAACCACTACGCTAGACCAAGAGACCACTGTACTGGGTCACTGATAGACCACTACCCCAGACCGAGACACCGCTACACTGGGTCACTGAGAAACCATTACCCCAGACGAGAGACCACCACACTGGGTCACTGAGAGACAACTACGCTAGACTGAGAGACCACCACACTGGGTCACTGAGAGACCACTATGCTAGACTGAGAGACCACCACACTGGGTCACTGAGACACCACTACGCTAGACTGAGAGACTACCATAGTGGGTCACTGAGAGACCATTACCCTAGACCGAGACACCGCCACACTGGGTCACTGGGAGACCACTACCCTAGACCGAGAGACCACCATAGTGGGTCGCTGAGAGACCACCACACCAGGACGAGAGACCACCACTCTGGGTCACTGAGAGACTGCTATGCCAGGCCGACAGACTGCCATGCCAGACCAAGAGACTGCCAGTCCAGACTGAAGGGTAAATATGTAGGAAATGTGTTGGGATTCTACGGGTCTACCCCTTCCAGCTGAAGCAGCAAGTTACCTGCACTTCACTCAACTGGAGCAAATGTTCCCTCTTCGGTCTTAAAATGCGTTTAAAACTATCAGACATAAATATAATGTCCATGTTAAGAAATCCAACGTGCAATTTTGGAGAAACTTTAAAAGCCAAAGATTTCATTTTAAAAATTTAACATTTTAACTCATATACTTTTTTGAGTAAAATATAATGGAGAAGCACAGTGTCGAGGGAACTTTATTTTCAGTTCAAACAAGTAGAGGCAACTTTATGCTGTATTTCAATCTCTTGTTGTCCCTATCCCAGGGGAGTTTCATGGGAGCAGAGTTGAGGGAATTCATTGAATCCCTACAGTGTGGAAACAGTCCCTTCAGCCCAACAAGTCTACACTGACGCCTGAGGATCCCACCCAGACCCATTACCCTATAACCCACCAAATCTATCCATCCCTGAACACTATGGGTAATTTAGCATGGCCAATCCCCCTAGCCAGCACATTTTTGGACTGTGGGAGGAAACTAGAGCACCCAGTGGAAACCCACGCAGACATGGGGAGAATGTGCAAACTCCACACGGACAATCACCCAAGGGTGGAATTGAACCTGCGTTGCTAGTGCTGTGAGGCAGCAGTGCTAACCACTGAGCCACTGTGCCACCCCATGTCAATTTTATTTTAAAAGAGTTAGAGGAACTTTATTTTGAGTTCAAAAGCGTCACGGGGCCTTTGAGTTCCAAAGAGTTAGGAATCTTTACTTCACTAAAAGAGTAGAGTAAGCTTTTCTCTGTGGTTATGCCAGTGCTGTCACTAACATAGGAGTGTCTGATGGGGATAGAGTCGAGTGGACTTGGCTTTTCCATTTCCTTCATCGTTTAATAGATTTGGGGAAGCTTTAGTCGAGCAGAAACATTGCTGATGTTAAATTGCTGATAACACCCAATAGGTCTGATAGCAGCTACGGAGAGAGAAAAACAGTTATTGATTCAAGTCTAGTGTGGCACTTCTTTAGAAGTTAAAGGCGTTGGAATTTATTTTTTTGGCAGATGGGAAGGAGGTGAACAGGTGGTATGGAGGTGTGTACCACTCATAAACAAAGCTTTTCACTGTATTTCGGTACACGTGACAATAAATAATATAACTATAATATAACAATGAATAAGAAACAATCAATCAATCAAATAAATAAAGCGATCAATTGTTGTGAAAGACAAAGGGGTTGGAAAATGGTGATGGAAGAGAAATTGAGATGTTAAATGGTTGCAACTTAAGGTGTGAGAGGATGAAAAAATGGGGAACCCACATCATGCGGTCCGGCTCTGAAGTTGTGGAGTTCAATGTTGAGCCCTCCAGGCTGTAATGTGTCTACGTGGAAAATAAGCTTTTCTTGCTCAAGTTTGCATTGTGCCATGTTGGAACATTGCAATGGGCCTAGGACAGAAACAGTGAGAGAATAAAATGTGATGTTATGTTATGGGATAGCCCTGCTCTTCAGATAAACATTAAACTCTATATTTTTGCTCAGAGTATTGCAAAGCTGAGGCCTACCTCACTGTTGAGGGGATATTAGATACAGGACTCTTTCACTGGTGGAGTTAAGGTAAACCAAAGCCCCAGCATTTCTTTCATAATCACTGACTGGGTAGTTTTGATATTTCTTATGACCAACCCTGGCCATTCTACGTTAGAAAATACTCTTGGCCTTGTGAAGTTTGCAAGGAGATTAATTAAAACATTTACTAAGGATGAGCAATGTCAGTTGGAGCAGGTAAAGATGGCCTTTATTTTCTGTTTGATGAGGCTAAGAGAGGTTTTAATGAGAAATGCAGGGGCAAGTTTCCAGAGGTCAGAAATATCAAGAAGCAGAGAACAGCAGTTTAAAGTCATTGCCAGCAAAGCCCACAGTGTAGATGTAGAGATTTGTGCGTAAGAGAAAGAGAGTGCGTGTGTGTGTGTGCGTGTGTGTATGTGTGTGTGCGTGCGTGCGCGCGTGCGTGTGTGTGTGTAAGAGAGACAGTGGGTTAGCATGTAAGAGAGTGTGTGCCTGTGCCTGTATGTGAGAGAGAGAGCGTGTTTGTGTATGTGTCTGTATGCATGTTAGAGTGAGAGTGTGTACATTGTGTACATGTCTATGTGCCTATGTGTGTGTGTGTAGTCTGCGCGTCTCTGTGCCTGTATGTATCTGTGCGTGTGTATGTGTGTGTGTGCGTGTGTGCGCGTGTGTGCGTGTGTGTGTGTGTGTGTGTGTCATACAGCATACAAACAGGCCCTTCAGCCCACCATGTCCATGCTGACCAACAAACACCAAACCACACCAGTCCTTTTTACCTGCATTTGGTCCACAGCCTATGATGCCCGGGCATTTTAATTGCTCATCCCAATGTCTATTACATGCTGTGAGAGTACCTATCTCAGCACCCACTCAGATTGCAGGTTCTATGTATCTAACATCCTCTGGGTGAAATAGCTTTTTTCTCAGATCTCCTCTAAGCCACTTGCTCCTCACCTTAAACTCATGCCCTCTTATCTGCCTTGGGGAAGAGGTTTCCATGATCTACACTGTCTATGCCTTCGTACAACTTTGTACAACCCACTCAGATCCCACCTCAGCCATCCCTGCTCTGGGGAGAACAAAGCCAGCCCATCCAGTCTCTCCTCATAACTGAGAGTTTTAATTCCAGGCAACATCCTGGTGAATCTCCTCTGCTACCTCCCCAGTGCAATCATGTCCTTTCCAATCATTCGGCAACCAGAATTATACACAGTATTCCATCTGTGGCCCAAGAAATGTTTTATGAAGTTGTAACAAGACCTCCTTGCTCCTGTATTCTGTTTCCTGGCTAATGAAGACTAACATCCCCGTATGCCTACTTAACCATCCTGTCTACCTGTGCGAATAGCTTCAGGGATCTCTGGACATGTACACCAAGGTCCCTTTGTTCCTCAGTACTCTATAGGAACTACCATTTATTTGGCCCTTCCAGCCTGCTCCACCATTCCATAGGACCATGGCTGATCCAACATTCCTCACATCCACTTTCCTGCCTTTTCCCCATAACCCTTGATTCCCCGACTAATCAAGGTTCTATCTCTGATGAAGATATACTCAAAACGTTAGCTTGCTCTCTCTCCATGTAATTTCTAGCATTTTTTTGTTTTCGGTACAGATTCCAGCTCTGACAAGGATCTATCTATCTCAGTCTTAACTATACACACGGACTCTGCTCCTAGAGCTCCTAGTGTGGCCATCCTATTCATCCATAAAACAAATCTTAATTTCTCATTTATTACCTCAGCTAGGTACGAATTGCCTACATTTGCAATTTTGGTCCATAGCCAACCCTCCAACAGCCACAACATTTTCCTATCTACTAAGTATGATTGTAACCAGCGGAGAGCTTTCTCCCTGAACCCCCTTCACTCCAGGTTTGCTGGGGCTCCTTGAAACCAGACCTGGTCAAATGTGGCCTTGATGTTAAAGGTAGTCAGTCTCACCTCATCTCTGGAATTCACATAATCTTGACATTACAGTCTTTCAGTCTTTCCCAACTAGTAATTTATTTTCCACTAAATGCTCTCTGTCTCTCCTGTGCCTAATTGGACCACCATGCAGAGTGCCAACATTGTGTACCATCCAACAGACGCACTGCAGTAACTCATTGAATCTTTTTCAACAAAGAACTCAGTTCTGAAAAAGTGTTATACCAGGTTCGACACATTAACTCTCTGTCCAGATGCTGTCAGACCTGCTGAGTTTCTCCAGCATTTTCTGTGTTTGCTAAGTAACATCTCCATTCTATTTTTCCTAAATTCTTTTCCTGAGGATATGTGATTGGAATCAGAGAGGTGTTTTGCATTTCACCCTTGGTGCATATGATGTCAACCCACAGACATCTCAAAACAGTTTCTTTTCGGTTGTTGCAATTTCGCAATTAATTTCCAAATTCAAAACGCCTAATTTCTCTTGGGAGGCTCACATCAATTATAAATGTCTCACCCACTTAATGTGGAGTAGTGTATCTTACCAAAATGCACGGTGCACCAGATGGTCTGCTCTTTGCAATCTATTATCCCATCCTTGCAGCTATCGGGGTCCCAGGTACGGTACTGGAATTTGTTGTATGTTTTGAAAGTCATTTTGATTTTAGCTGCCTCAAAACAAAATTGCTATGATCACGAGTCTGTTTTGTGTAACTCCTTCCCTTTCAGCGTTATAAAGTCTTTCCTGGAAAGATACTTGCTTTGAACATATTAATGTACCTCTTCAGCTTCAATTCTATCATTCAACTATACCATTGCTTTGGATATACTAATATTTCTCTCTTTTAACTGAATATTTTATTGACTCGTGCATAACAGTTTGCTGCCTATAACAGCATTCCCTTTAAAATATCATCCAATGTACTCTTTCTACAGTGAATCATATATCTCCTAATTGGGTTTGCAATTTTTTGAGTTAATGTGTCAAGTTTTCTCTTCAGTTGTTTCCTTTATCATTCTTAATAGTGTGACTGCAGATGTTTTTCCAAGTTTTGAGGCACCAATTTGAGTGAATGATGACCACCAGCTACAAGTCAACATTGTGTCACTTGTAATGTGTGTGATGATGCTGTCACTTTAAGAGGTTATTTTCTCCTGTTTTTTTTTTGAAGAGAGGCTGGAAGACAGAGGTAACAAACTAGCTACTGAAGACAGCTAAATAAACAGCTTGAGAGGCCTTGGGGTTTTTTTTAAGTTAGAACAATGGAATCAGCCTGTATAAGTGTGGCCAGGTCTCACAGATCAGGATTTCTAGTATTTTAAGCGTTAAGCAGCAAGAAGCCATTGGGTTAGAGCTTCAGGGAATGCCTCTTCACTGGTATTCTCTCTGAACCTTCTCTTGAGATTTTCTTCTCCTGCACTGGAGAACTGCATGTAAGAATCTGTGTCAGCATTTGCTTTTTTGCCTAGAGATATGATTTTGGGATGTAACGATATTGCAACAGTTAATTAGTAATAGTTACTGTATCTGTTATTCAGTTAAGACTTCCACTGGTGTTGTTATTCTAAATTCCTGTCTTTTGTTTGTATTTACCTATAGTGTTTAAATAGACTGTACTTTTTATTAATGTTTGACTTGTCGCATCGCATCTAGAATATGGCAATTTATATCTACATTAAAAATTAGAAAAAGTTAAGGTCTAGGCCACCTTCTTAAAAACCAGAGACATGCAAAGGTCTCTGGTTTGCGATCTTTCTAAATTATAAGCAATATGTTCCATGTTGGAATGGTGAGCACTCTGGGCTCTGAATCCAGTCACTTTCATCCAAATTGTGGTGGAATCCCATTTCTTCCTAACATGGTGACTGAGGCAAAGGACCATCGAGGAATTGTGCCCTACAGTTCTGGGTTGGTTTGCCACTCTCATCGTCATAGCAAAGGATCATGTTATACAGTGTTAGCAACCTTTGAGTCAGAAGTTCAAGTCCCAGTTTCCCTGTACATATCTCACAATCTATCCAAACAGGTTGATTTGAAATAATTATGAAGGGAAACATGTTGACACTGGCATTGAGTAGAGTTCTGAAGTATCCACATGTAATGTTTCTCACTGAAATGGAAGCTAAAATGCAGTGAATATTAGCTTCTGGTGTTCAACTTCATTGTCTGGAACACAGGAACGTAACCAATGAAATGTAAAGCAATACAGTGACTAAGAGGCCCATCAAGTCTGCTCCAGCAAAAATTACTCGAAATCTACACTGACCTCACTTTCAAACCAACAGCCTTGAATGTAATAGCATTACATTTGCTCATCTACATCCTTTCTTTGCAGGTTGTGAGGTTCCCCACCTTGACTACGCTCCCAGGCACTACATTCCAGACCTTACCGCCCTCTGGGTGAAAGAAAATTGTCCTCAGAACCTCTCTAAATCTCCTACCTTTTGTGACAGGTTTACATGTTGGATGAGAGTGGAAGAATATTCAATATAATGATCGTATTAATTCCTTGTTTGTTGCAGCCAAGACGTAGCTATATCTCAATGTTATGATCACTATTTATTGCTCGACCTAATATTACATGCCTCACATGAAGTCACAGTGCTCAGGGGATTAAAATTTCTCAGCTGAAGATAACAACTGACGACAGTGAAATGATGTTATTTTGTGGAAAATTGTTGACAAAATTGTGTGCATATGGAACAATGTAGGGCCACTTTATTTATAAGTTTTATTTTTCTCAGTACCACATAATGCTGGGTTTCCATTCTCAGGTATCTAACTCCATTCCTGGTTCAGTCTCAGCTTGATCTTCAAAGTGACCTGTGACGGATGGTTTCTGAGTGAACATTGTTAAGGCCATACCAAGGCAAGGTTCTGAATTGTTCCTGCTCTCAATCTTTCCTTAAGGAGTTATCATTAAGTGGTATCCTTCCTAAATGTGTCTAAAAGATGTAATTCAATTTACATGATCAACTGAGCAAATACCTTATCCTGATTCTCCTGTGCAACTCCAGTGGCAGTGCTGCTTACATGGTATGTCTGTATCTGAATGAGGTAAAGATGAAGTTGTCATTGTCCTCCTAGACCATGAGGCTGCTGTCGAGTTTGAAAGAAATGATTGGTGCTGGTTTAATCTGAGGGTCACCATGTTTCAGGCAAAGGGAGAGGGTGAGAAGGACAGAACTTCATGGTAAACTGAGCCGGTGCAGGAACTTTACCCACACTATTAGCACTAACTTGCATCACAGCTCAGTCACCCAACAAAAAGATCTAAACAATCTGGACAAGATCTCATAATCTGTTTGCTCATTTATGTAACTGAGACTTAGAGTTGGGAATCAGGAGGACTGCGGTAAATTTCTCCTGAGACTTCACCAACATTGCCAAAGCAAATTCAGAAAACCATAATCACACCCACATTGTGTTGTAGACTTTAGTTCATCAGACTGAATAATGTCGATAATAATATCGCAATTTAATGAATGAAAGTGAATGTGCCAGATTAGATTTTAAATGGTGGTCACTACATTTCAGCTTCTACTTTAATGTTTTTTTGCCAATGTTATTTTCTTACCTAAACCTTCAATGCATTTATGTTCTTATCCATAACCTTCAGATTTAACATGAACAATATTATATAATTTCACATTGTGATATCTATCCTCTATCTATGTTTGTCTGGTTGATTGTTTTAATCAAAAAATTACTGTTGATAGAAATGGGATTTGGTTTTGTTATTAGGTACCAGATATTAAAAGTTCAAATAAAATTATGATAATGAGACTTTATTTGAGGAGTCAAATCTTATGGTTCTGTTCACACTGTCTCACTCACTATTCCATTTCCATCATTCTCCGGATTGTACATATTTTTCATATTGCAGCTAACTTGGCAGTGATTGTGATCCTATCCAGAGGAAGGTGCGGTCTCTCCAGATGCATCACTTACTACCTTGTATCGCTGGCAGCGACAGACCTACTTGTCATTATTACAGCGGTTATATTGAACCGTATTGTTGGAATTTACTTCCCTTTCAGCGTTCTGTATGTTACCCCAGTCTGTAGTGTCAATTTTGTGCTAATGATTGGAAGCAGGGATTGTTCTGTCTGGGCAACGGTCATATTCACTATTGATCGTTTTGTGGCCATTTCTTGCCCAAAATTGAAGACACGATATTGCACAGAGAAAGTAGCAGCTGTGGTTATAGGGGCAGTTTGCGGAATGAGCTGTTTCAAAAATACATTCCGGTATTTCATATATGAACCATTATATACAGTCGGTAATGTACCATGGCATTGCAAAATTAAGTCCACATTTTATAATTCACCTGTATGGGTTGCATATCATTGGATTGATAGCATTTCAACCCCTTGTCTCCCATTCGTTTTGATCTTACTGCTCAATGCTGTGACTGTCAGACAAATTCTAAAGGCCATTCGAACTCGCAAAAGACTCCTTGTTGGCAAACAGGCGGAAAATCTGAATGACACAGAGGTGAACAATCGGAGAAAGTCCATCATCCTGCTGTTCTGTATCTCGGGCAGTTTCATCCTGTTATGGCTGCTATTTGTGTTAACATTTCTCTACGTCCGAATTAAAAACGTTCGTTATTTCTCGGGTTCCAATTACAATGAGTCCAATTTCAACCTGGAAGAAAGTGGGTATATGCTTCAGATCTTAAGTTCCTGTATAAACCCATTTGTTTATGCAGGGACCCAGAGTAAGTTCAGACATGAGTTAAGAAGTGGCATTAAATTTTCAATCAATTTCATTGCAAAAATGTTTAAATCTTGACATATAATAAACATTTCATGGAATAAACTTCATCCTGTTACCTTCCAGTTGGTGCTATAAAGAGACTGTACTGTACAAGGGGTTCCAATTTAAATATTTCTGACTTAAGAAGGCTTGTGCTTATGAACACAATCTCATTCACAGGTATAATTTTAAAGACCCAACAACTACTAACAGCTCCTTCATATTTTCCACAAGACCATAAGACCATAAGACACAGGAGCAGAAATTCGGCCATTCAGCCCACCGTGTCTGATCCACCATTCAATCATGGCTGATAAGTTCCTCAACCCCATTCTCCCACTTTCTCCCCGAAACCCTTGATCCCCTTGATAATCAAGAGCCTATCTATCTCAGGTTTAAATGTACTCAATGACCTGGCCCCAACAGTCTTCTGTGGCAGTGAATTCCATAGATTTACCACTCTCTGGCACTCTCTCCATTCTAAAAGCTCTCCCCTTTACTCTAAGTCTGTGCCCTCGGGTGACTTCAGACTTCTAAATTTTCTCCCCATTTAGAAAATAGTCCATGCTTTTATTCTTCTTACCAAAGTGCATGACCTCACACTTTCCCATGTTGTTCTCCATCTGCCACTTCTTTGCCCACTCTCTTAACCTGTCCAAATCCTCCTGCAGCCTGCCCACCTCCTCAATACTACCCGTCCCTCCACCTATCTTTGTATCATCTGCAAAATTAGCCAGAATGTCCACAGTTCCTTCGTCTAGATCATTAATGTTTAAAGTGAAAAGTTGTGGGCCCAACACTGACCCTTGCGGAACACGACTTGTCACCGGCTGCCTTCCTGAGAAAGACCCCTTTATCCCCACTCTCTGCTTTTTGCCAGACAGCCAATCTTCTATCCATGCTAGCACCTTGCCTCTAACACCATGGGCCCTTATCTTACTCAGTAGTCTCCTGTGTGGCACCTTGTCAAAGGCCTTCTTGAAGTCCAGGTAGATAACATCCATTGGCTGTCTTTGGTCTACCCTGCTCATAACTTCCTCAAAGAATTCTAGCAAATTTGTCAGGCATGACCTCCCCTTGATGAAACCATGCTGACTTTGCCCTATTTTACCATACACTCCCAAATATTCAGAAATCTCATGGATTTCTTGCAATGGACTCCACAATCTTACCCACGACCGAGGTTAGGCTAATCGGCTTGTAATTTTCCGTCTTTTGCCTTACTCCCTTTTTAAACAGGGGTGTCATGTTAGCGATTTTCCAGTTCTCTGGG